TGGTAGGTAGTCTAGTGTGCTGGTTACTTTGCGTGTTAGCTTTGCGAATTGGTTTGTTAACGAGAGCGATGTGTACAGACGAGTGTCGAGTGTTCGATGTTATTCTTGTAGTAGCAGTAGTAGTAGTTGTAGAAGTAGAAGTTGTTCTTGTTGTTTGTGGTGGTAGGAGGGGGGGTGGCGTATGAATCGAGGAGACCGTGTTGTGCATGATTTTTGTGTTTGCAGTTATTGGATGTTGTACTGTTCGTCGTAGAGTGTGAAATGGATGGTATGGAAATGTGTGTTGCGTAGGGTGGTGTGAAGACTTGGTGAGTTGAGCATGCACAATTTGGTGATCGTGATGTTGAAGAGGTGATATGATTGTCCGTTGAAAGAGGAAATAGCAAATATGGAAATGTATTGTCGTTACATGGATGACACTTTTGTAGTGTACGATGAGGGGTTAAGTTGTGATTTGATTTTGAGCAACTTCAATAATGCTCACCCAGCGGTCCATTTCACCTACGAAGGAGAATGCAACGACTCTCTACACTTCCTCGACGTCCTACTAACAAGAAGAGAGGATGGTTCCGTCAAAAGAACCATATTTAGAAAGCTAGAGACCAAAGCTCAGTATACACACTTCCTTAGCTTTGTACCGATGAAATACAAACGCAACCTGATCAGATGCTTAGCATTTAGAGCAAGGTCGATTTGTTCCGAAGACTGTGTAGAGAAAGAACTCCAGGTCATTCGAGACATTCTAAGTGAGAACGGATATCCAGAGAAGTTCATTAAAGCAAACATAGGTTACAATAGCCGTAAACATGAACTGACAACGGTGGAGAAAAAGCCTCTGTTTTTACGTCTCCAATTCAAGGGAGATACTCCTGCGGAGATTCTATCGCAACGTTTAACCAGGGCGATCAAGAAAACTTTCTACTCTGCACGTCTGTGTCTATCCTTCAGTAGCCGTCCAATGTTCACCCAGCAACTCAAAGATGTTTTACCTAATCTTAGCTCTTCTTCATGCATATACCATTTCAACTGTTCCTGTGGTTCAAGTTATATAGGGCGCACGATTAGGCAGGTTCGTCTACGGGTTCGAGAACATATACCAGCTTGGTTCAGCAGAGGGGAAATTAAGTGCATAAAAAGCTCGATCCTGTCACACTTGGTCGATACTGGACATCATATCGATGTCAACACAGCTTTCAGGGTTATATACCGAATTCCGAAGTCGTTATCACGTACAGTTCACTTACGTCTTCTACACATAGCTGAAGCTGTTGCAATAAGATCGACTAAACCGGAACTTTGTATCCAAAAAGAACACGTCCAGACGCTGTTCCTACCGTGGCCAAACTTGGATTGATGACTCTTCTTCTCACCAAGAGTGCTCCTTCCCCTTAACCCTCTTGGCTTTTTTTTTCCTTTGCTTATTATTACAATTATTACTATTATTATTATTACTAATATTATCATTATTCGTCATAATTTATGCCCTTCATGCAAACATTCTCTCAATACTATCGAATTTTTTTTTTCGTTTATACTATCCGGACTTATTATTAGTGATATAATCTCTTTTCTCAATATATGCCTCCACTTGTTTCATTTCACATATTCGTTATCTCATTATGAACCTCCCAATGCAGTCTTACTATCTCCTGTTTAACACAGACCACTTTGTACTAGCCACTCACCTGACACCCTTTTATAACCTTGAACTGACTTGTCAATTTTCCTACCCCCACTCTACAAATCTATTATGATTAATCACCATTGTCTCCCGTTTTACATTATTTTGTAATCGAATTCAGCCTAGCACGTTTGTCACACAAATACGACTATTTATTTTGACACCCCATAACTAATCTGTTATTCTACGTTAAAAATGTATCTGCCGCATAACTGGCCTTACTGTAACGACAACAAATATTATATTTTATAATTGTAAGAACCTGAAGAGAAATTATTGAAAAGAATATTCTTCGTTCAGATTGACTTTTAATTCATAATATGGGAATTTTCGACACTATCAAATCTGATATGATTGTGTTTGACTCAATGTGTATGTATGTGTGTTTGGAGTGATTTGATTTGTTCGGTGTACATCTGTTCATTGTGTTTAATGTGTTAGATGGTGGTGATTTGTTGACTCACCTATATATGTGAATGCATATATATATATAAATATATATGTGTGTGTAAGTGTGTGTGCGTGTGAATGCGTGTATATTAACATGGGGTTTGAATGATTTAGATGCTGAAGATTTGCCCAATACGGAGTTTTCGTGAGGTATTTGATTGGTGTTTCTGATTGGTTTGATTAGTTTTTGTCATAGTGGTCGAGTAACGTTGGTTACGTGGTTGTGTATGCTTGTGTGTTCTCTGTTTTTCAGCTTTCGATTTGATGGTGATGATTCGGAAGATATGAGAAGATGAAATGCATTTGAAGTGAGTGTGCGTTAAATAAGGTTTCTTTGTGTGTAGGTGAACATGTGTGCGTACTCACTTGTCAACGCATGAATGTTTGTTTGTTTGTGTGTATGTGTTGGTGCATGGTGGTGTTGGACTGGTTTGGTGGTTCCTGATTTTGACGGCTGCGAGAATTGATCTGTCTCGTTAGTTGTAAATTTCAGGTAGATAGACGTCATTCACTGAAGCTTATTGTCTCCTGTGAGAGAATGAGTTCAAAGAATGTGGACATGTATTGTTTTTGTTAATGTTTGGTTGAGAGTGATGTGATTATACTTTAGAAGAGGTGACTGGTATTATCAGTGAGGTGAATGATTGTATAGTTTATTGAGATGATGTGAGATGTTTCTTCGTGGATATGGTTTTATTTGTGTATTCTGCCTGCGATCGCCATTTCCCTTAAATTCCAGAAGTCTGCTTATGATTCTTCGTTGTCATTGTTTTTTCCTTAAGCCTGTCGACCCATGATTTTTTCTCGTCCTTTTTTTTGTCTGCTCCCAATTCAGTATTCATATCGTCTATGAGGATTTTGATTTCGTCGTTTGATATTTTGTGTCTCACTTTTTGTTGTTTTCGGTAACCATCATCGTTCTTCTCTTTTTCCTCATTGTTTGTAGCATTGTGAGTTGCATTGGATGATTGTAATCTTACTTGCTTTCTAGTTGAGTGTTGCTGTTATGATCCTGGATGAAATTGGTCCACACTTCCCCAGGCCTTTTTCTGCTAATTGTTACGTCGTCATAGCCACTGATTGCCTCAGTGTGTTCCTGGTTGTCGTCTGGGTGACCAGAGGAGAATAATGACTCTCCAGTTGACAATTCTGATAATCCACTTTCATTCCATCTGCTATAATAGATTCCCAGCACTTACATACCATATCTTCGTATTTCTTTGGCTACCTGGGCAGCGTTCCCACCCTCGCACATTGCATGGACATTCCACGTCCGTATTCATATTCTTGCTTTCATGGAGAGACATCAGCTAGTTGACTGGCTTCCCGAAGGCTTTAACCAGCCCGTTGTATCATTTTGCCTCTCTGATTCCAGCAAAGAATAAGCTTGTTTTCTATATTTTTATATTTTTAATACTTTTCTTGTGTCTAAATCCCTGTAGAAGTTCAATGGTATTTTGAGGCAGGGTCGCTAGCCTCACACCCAATCCTCCCTCCTCACCCGGGCCGGCTAGATAACTAGCGAGCTAGTAAATTGGGTGAGGCATCACTATAAGAAAATCTGAATATTGCTTTCTTTCATCACAATCGCAACAGCTGTCTCATCATTCAATAGTATTTATTCAGTTGACATTATATAATTACCTGAATCGGAAAAAATGGAAAGATAAAGTTGCAATAATCGAATAGATCAGGCCTATTGAATCAGTCAGTATTGATTGATTCTTCTACTGATAATGATAATTGTTTGTTTTGTTTCTGCCCTGTCTACTTGAGGACTTCATTATTTAAAATCATGGTCATGATCTATTTCGTACTAACTTCTCCATTTTCGAATTCTGTTTTTTCCTGCTATTTGAGTTACTTATTCATTCTTTCTTCATCTGATTTTTTTTGTTTGTTTTTTTCTGTAATATTTTGCTACTATTGCTTGATGTGTCACATTGGAATTGCATACTTCTTTTTTTTAATAATCTACTCATCCGTTCCCTGTTGTTTGATAACGCGAAAAATCAAAACAAAAAGAAGTTATATGAGTGAAGGGTAAGCAAACATAACTAAACCGGAACGCTTAACTTTTGTAAAGAAGACAGAGAGACTGACAAACATTTAAAAGCTGCTTCAAATTTGATTCTGTTTATCTATTTATTCAATCTAGAGACAATGTCTATCAGTTGTGATGCATCAGTTAATCTACCACTCATGATTTTCTTGATATTATACACAATGATTCACCAAACGCATTAAAACCATCTCTTCTACTATTGGTCTACTCTATGGCCCACTCTCACCTCATGCCACTGTAATTCATTTAAAAAATGGCTCCAACGGACAATGCTTTTTGTGGCCGAATGGTCAACGGGGCACACCATATAACTTGAAGGTCCTGCTTTCGGTACCTTGTGTACTGCTGAAGAGTTCTGAACTAGAACAGCTGTGTGATACTCTTTTTCGGTACTCAGAGGTTCTATAACTGTTGTCATCTGGTGACCTAACTTGAAACCAATCAAACCCTGCAAACCAACACACTTCACAAGTCAATTATTTATGTGCGTATGGAAAAGTGTATTCTTTTTCAATTTTTTATTGTTTTGGTTTACATTGATTCATACTTATCAACTGTAGATAGTTATGAAATAGACATTACTGTCTTCTCAGATGTGTTCTTCTCATAATTATAAGCTTATGATTTCATATAATCTTGCATTGTCTGTTTTCTCCTCGAGTCTTTTTTTGTATTAATGATGTACAATGTTTATTTCCTTCTAAATTTGAATTATCTACTCGGTAACACATATCAGGTGTACACTGCTGTTTGTTTCATTTTGTCTTGTTTTTTCTTAAATGTGCAACAGCTTGTGATGGATGACTAAACAATGTAAGAATCCAAATGCCTGAGACTACGTCGGATATTTTGTAAAGTTTTTAATAAACTTGCTGTTGATTTTATTCCTGTCACTGGTTTACATTGTTTTATTGTGTTTGTTGTTGTGGTAGACGATTGAACTAACATACTTGGACGACATACAATTAATTTGTCACTGCAAGAGAAAAAGAAAAGAACAACCTAAGAAAAATAAGGCAAGACATCAAATAGCAATATATGCGTCAGTGACTCAATGGTAGAATGCTTGCTGACCACGTTGCACGTGGTCCAGGTTTCAACTGTGAGCCGACATGCTCCTAGTCGAAATTAAACCAAGAAAACAGGAGCAAATTTGGGTGTGAGTCCAGCAACTCCACCCCGTATAAACAACAAAATCACCGCTACTGAAACTTCGATACTGAGGCTCAAAACCCTCTGTGCCGCTCAGAATTCAAAGAAATGAAAAAGTTGTAATATATAGAAAGGGAGTTGATCGTTATGGTATCAGCCTTTGTGGGCTATATGGAGAATGTGAACTTGAACTCATTTAGGACATTCAGACTCACTAATTTCCTTAATTCACTAACTGTATGATTCTCGAAGTCCATCAGATGAAAGGTTAATTTATGCATATTTTTCTAAGTAACCAAAATTAGGAGAGAAATTAGTATATGTTATACTTTGGTGGTGCTTAATTTATCTTAAAGTATCCTATATCAAAAAATATTATAACTCTTACTCGTTCTGTGCTTGTTCTCTCACTTCTTGACCCTGCCGTAAGACATTATCAATTTTAAACATTATTAATTGTTCCCAAAATGATAAATCACATGAAATGATAATAGCTTCAAATATATATGCTTCTGCACTTTGTGTATTATTATGCTTATCGATAACAATTGGTCTCTGTGTAAAACTAATCAACAATGGTCCATAAATATTAGCTAGCTGTAAAAGATTTATAACTGAATTTGTTGTATTCGATTCATAAACACGTAAAAGATGATTCATTAAAAAGACTAGTGTATGCAGCTCTGTCGGTGATCTTTGCATCGATATCTGTCGTATAATTGTTGTCATTTCTGGATGCGGACAATGGTACTTATCAAATAGAGGGTGTTGAATTAATCGTTGTAAACATGCTTTATTCATATGTATCAGTTTTATAGCTAATAAGCTTAACAGTGTACGCAATACAGCTAGGCATATTTTAATATCCATATTCGATATATACACCTGTAATTGGTCTATATTATCCCATATAGTTATTAAATTGATAATCCACTTTTTAGCCAACTCATATAAATGATCATATTTTTCAAAAATAATATCCCATGAGCAATTCATTTCACAATAATTCTCAATAGTTACAATTAAAATTCTTATGAAATCAGGGATATATGGTGAATGACTTGGTGTAAAATTGTTTAAATTCAACAGACCAATAAGTCTGTTCTCATTTATTGTCTTAATTTCTGCTTTTCTTATATTGTAAGGTGTATTCGGGGGATATTGATTTCCAACACGTAGATTTCTGTTTGTCATAATCAATGAACTACTATGCACACTTAGACGATCAGGATTTGTAAACTCTGTGTTGTCTTTCATTGTGTATGGTGCAATAATATTTAAATATAAAGGATTTTGTTGTCTATGCCATGGTTGATTACACTCGATAATTGATTCATTAGATTCCTTCCTCTTCTTTTTCGTCATCACTTTTTGCCTACTGCTTGGATTTTGCATTCGTTCAATAAGCCAGTCTCTTTTTTCACTCATTTTCATAGTTGAAAATCTTCGCATATCTGAATTTCGTTTAAATGTTTTATTTTCTAATATACTATCTTTTTTGGATAAATTTTCCTCTAAGGATGATAATTTCGAAGAAATTTTCATGATCATTTCGACACCACAACGTTAAAATAATCTGTTTTATTCTTAATGTAATCGTCCTGATTAAAAGATCAATGTAGTATATGTAGATTCAAACGTTTTGTTCACGTGACTTTATTGATTTCTATTGTGTGTTCAACAGTGAAGTAACAATTAAGTATATGCTTCAACTTATGGTTTATATCCATGAAGTTGATTTTCATTTCCCGTTGGTTGATTATGTTGAACTGAAATGCCGGGTCTCCTTGTTCACAGGTCGGCTCCTAGTACCTACGCTTCGACAATCTCCCCAGTGGAGCATAAGGCTTCAGCAGCATACCTGCATTTCACCCTACTCTCTTTAGTCTTTAGCTGGTTCCACGAATGCCTTTGAACTCTCATTTCCTCTTCACGCAATCACTTCCACGCCTAACTCGGTCTGCGTTAGCATTTCAACTCCCAGTATGAACTCTGACAATATCTGTGGACTAACATGATGTTATTTCGGCAGATGTTGAATAGAAATGAGAACACCATCACTCATTTGGAATACAGGTATACCCAAGTGACAGAAAGGAATCCGCACTCTGGATTCTACTGTAGCCTCTATCAACCCATTTTCTATATGGACATACCCATGGAACTAGATTGCTTCATCCTAACATCAAACTGTGACACAACAGTAATGGAACATATCCAACCTTTTTCTGCACACGTGTCTAAATTTTGTTTGTCTTAATGGTTTCTTTCTGTGAGATTAAACCAGGTCGACTTAGGTAGTTTGGGTTTAAGAAAAATTCGACTCGCAACAAGAGTAGAATTGCTTCCTTCCATCGCAATTTACCACTCGAAGTCAAGATGCATGAAGTTTATGAGTGTGTTCACCTTTTCCGACTGATGAAAAATATATAGCCGGCTTGAATTTACCAAGTCTTGTTCTCTTCATGTATTTTGTCACACTAATAATCAGTGACGTTTGATTTTATTTCACTTAAGTCCCACCAGTATTATCAATCTACTACAAGATACTAGTAGATATTTCGGTTAGTGGCAAATTTCGATTTTGATCCTAATGTCAGATAAAATCCCCTATCATATGAGTTTCATTTCGATGCATCACATTAAGAACCCAAAAAGACCTAGTTACATTTCCGCAGCCAGGTAGGTATGCCAACTACCATAGAGTGCCACTAAATAATTGATTGGTTCAAGAATGAAAAGCCCAAACCAGCTGTCATTCAACTTCATTTCCCCAAGTACACACTAGTTTTCCATTCTCTCTATAAACAAATCCGAATTTTTATTAGTCAAATACTACGAGAGAAACCTCAAATTTCACGCTTAGCTACATCTCCGCTTTGAAGAGTATACATTTTGAATTTATTTTCAGACACAGATGTCCATAAACTATGACTTATACCTATTACGCAAATCTCATTTCTGTTCGCTGTCAATTCAGAATTCCATGTTCCCAACTGAGCTTAATTTAGCCGATCTGAACACTTCTGAATTTAGGCCTATTTACCAGACATTTTGACTTGTTTTGTTTCAATAACTATCACTGTACTCTTATACAGATATGAAAACCCAATCGTTATCCTTCATTTATATTCTAGGAACTCTTCATCCCTAAGGTGAAGACAACAAGCATTTGTGATAGCCACACTATATGGTGCAAAACAAATACTCCGTGATCCACAAATTCATTCCTAACTTTAATCCATTTTGGTGCTAATAATAGTGTTTATGACTGGTGTTTCTCAAACTGGAAAGAATTGCTATTCACTGTTACCGTCTCTTCAAGACCGTATCCGACACAAGTTAAAAGCCACTCACTAAAATTGATGTCAACCTGAGATGGTTAACAGTTCAGCGAAATGGGCTCTAGTCACTGATTACATCACAGTCTCACGTACCGCAGGCTAAAAAACGTTGCAGTTCTTGATGTTACAGCTAAATTTGAACCGTTGCTTAGGAATTGTTTGTCACAGCGAGTTTTCCTCAAAAGATTATCAGCATTTTCGAGATAATATGCAAAACGATGGGGTAACACCAGTAGTAACGGTGTAAGACAGGGCTGCCTAATCTCCTTAGTTGGCATTCTGAAGACGGCTCAGAAGAAAACTGGTTGTGCACATCTATTGTCTGAAGAATGTTCGAATGCGTGTTGCGTCGTCGTACACCACAGGAACCACCTCACCTTAGATGAAGCAGCTTGCCCCTGAAAGTCCATCACCAACTTAGGCCATTGTATGTTACCTCTGTGAAAATCCGAAGTACTTTCAGAGAATCCTTATTAAGGCATCCCAACTGGTACAGTCGCGACTGTGATCAGATTACACAAAGTCTTCACGACTCAACTCCTCAGTAATACGAACACAATCAGAATACTGGCTCTGATTCTAATCCAATCGAATGACTGCTTACTCCCTAACTGTCAGTCTACTCACTGAACACTGCATGACTCATAAATCCTCCCAGTATACTCTCTCATCTAACAAGAGTACCAACCAATTGTCAGGATAACGAAGTGATATAATGATGTCATTCATCATCTTAATTTACTGCGAACTTTTCCTATTGAAATTGCTATACCACACTGTTATCGGTTGTCTCATAGTTTGAGCATCCTCTACTGCTTCCTAACAGCCGACATCTGCAATCCATTTTCTCTGTCAACAGTACATTCATCGAAAACCAATCAACAATGCTGTCTCAATTTGGTCCCGTTAGCTACAGTCCATAGCGTTGTTAGACTGTCTTACATACATTTGCTTTGCAGTTTACTCAGGTTACATTTAATGCACGTAGTAAATAGACGTGCCCGAGCAATCAATAGGAGCGATGAATTTGGCAATACTTGCATCTAGAAGTAGGAATGGGTGCTTTAGACCATGATCGTCTTTGTTGTGCTTCATCAATCTGTCATTCACTAAACTGTAACCATGGTAATGCTTATGTCGAAGGGTGACCATGTGATTTATCCTGTTGGACCGACTGTGGGCTTCATATGGAGTAATGGCTGATGCACTCACGCCAACTTAGAAGTCTGCCCCGCCACACAGAGACGATAACTAGGTGGGGATAAAGCAATACTTGGTTAAATTGAGAAAGAAACTATTTGAGGAACCGTAGTGAGCGGGAAACCCAGCACCGCGCCGGTGATGAAGAACTTTACCTGGCCCTTACTGTGATCAGGCGTCCACCCACCTGTCTGTGGGGACCGCTGCAACATTGAAATGAAAGAAGGTGTCAGTCAAAGAAGTAAACAATTTCACTCACCCTGGATTTAAATTATCACTTCGAATGTAACAATGTAAACTGGTTTCCGACGAAAATAATAATAACCGATTTTCGTTTCTTTTTAAAAAAAAGCAGGAAACATTCACGCTCATATCCTACTCGTTTTATAGTCATATTTTTACATTTGCCATTATTCTCGGAGCAAAATTTACCAGTGTATTTTTATACGGAGGAAATTAATTTAGGTATTTAGTCTGCCAATTATTCGTGCCGTAGTTTTGCAAGAAATTTTTCACAAGTTTAGGGATTCGGTCAATTTTAATCGTTTGGCAGCCTAAATAGGTTTTCATATTGGTATTAAAATTATTTATTTAGTTTGTTTCAAAACTCTTTACCACCAAGTCAGTTCATTAATTTCATTGTAACTGTTTCAAACGCTGCTTTCATGCGTGGTTACATTGTTTTGGTCCTTTTTCAGCTGTTAATGAAATGGTACTGTGTAGAAGTTTGGAAATTATGCAAACGGATATGTTCGGGTATCAGAATCTGTTGTTTTCATTTCTTTTGTTGGTTGCCGTTATTGTTGCTGGCTAAATTGGTTACTTAATATTTTAAAATCTGGAAAAAACCATGTCTTTCATGTTCATGCTTACGGCTAAGTTAAACTTTAAGAACCAATATCAACCAATGGAGTACGACCGAACCAATAACCTTGAGACGCTCACCGAGCAAGTTAGTGATAACTGGCAAATAATGTTGTCATCTTCAATAAAATATGCTTCTCGAACTGTTATATTATTAAATGGAATGTCTGGCGAGTTTCAGCTTAGGTTTGAGGAAGTTTAAGTTACAGTTTAAGACAAGGACTACTTAGGGTTAGGTTAACCTAATAAAGGCAACATTAGGGTTGTTTCGAGTTAGATTACAGTTAGTTTAGGCATTTTTTTCACGTAAGGGTTGGATTCAAGAAAGATTAGGGTTAGACCTAAATAATCACATGCATAGAATGTGGTTAAATTACTCTGTTGATATTCACATACTCTTGAGTAGAACTTGTGCACTGTGGTAGAATATAATCCTTTCGTGGGTAACATTTATTTTGATAAAGTCTCAGTGTTATACAGTAATATTTGCTTATGACGTTTTGACCACAATTTATTGCTCAGGAAATATTACTGAATTACACTATGAGACTTTATCAAAATAAATTTTACCCACAATTGAATTATACTCTGTTGATACTTCAACTTAAAACTGAGAGCTATTTTTATCACATGTGAGAGGAAAGTATCCTCTGTAACACTTTTATATAGTTTTTATATATATTTTTCTTGAATACAGGTATTCCATACACAAAAATGCCTCCTTCACGTGATTGGTGGGTTTGAGGTCATCCGCTGATTGATAGCTAGTGGTGCTTGAAGTTTGACTGTGCCACGTTTACAGTATGCAACAATTTACGAGTCAATCTGGGTTGAAATTGAAAACGTTTTGAGGCTTTCCGAGAAGGTGATTATACCACCAATGTGTCTATTATCAGTTAAAAAACCAGATATATTGTGGGTGAATCAAAATTAAACAAGGATGAGCCACATGTGGAGTATGAATATGTGGTGTTTGTATGTACTTTTGTAAACAAAAAGAAATCGGAAACCTCTAAAACGTAATTGTCACCTATGGCCGTTAATGCCTAATGTGTGGAGTCCTCAAAAAAAATAAACTTATCCAAATTTTACTACTATGTAAGAAATGAACACATTGTACACTACTTTGTTTTAACCATAAACTCTGTACTTTAAATTTTACCTCGGGTTTTGAATGAATATATAATTCTGCCTTCGACTCTCCGTCTTCACCATCTCAACTGCCGTCGAACAATTTTAACCACCCCCTTTCTATCTCGAATTTTTGCAGGAGCACCGTAGTTTCTTCCTACGTACTTTGGTCGACCTCCGGCAACGTCAACATTGGAGAATTAGTACTGGAGCAGTCTTCCCGCAGCACCTGGAGTCTATTACGTTTATTGTGGACTTTGGATCTTTGTAAACCCAAGTAACGAAACTTTAATATATTCTTCCCGTAACTAAACTGATTTGGTATTTTATTTTCTATTTGAATTTGGGTAACTAAGCTAACAGAGTAAAAGGTCCACCACAAATGTACTAGATCCAAATACATGAACTAGAATTGTCTGTAGTACAGCCAGTTTTATCAGCCATTCAGTATGTTGCAGAACGATTTAAAAAGCGGATAACATTCAATGATCTGGTGAGTGTACGACCTGTTCTAAATAAAGGTAAAACTTTAATCAGCAAGCATAACGATTCAGATTGTGGTCTACAATCGGTGGTTTTTTCGAAGTTACAACTAGCCGAGAAGTGGAATACTAATTGAGGTAAAGATATTGGTTGAATACAAATTGTTTGTTTCAGTTCAAATAATCAAATTCTTACCTTTCGGACGTTTTCACCTGGCTCTACGTCTGCCCGCATGCTTTCGTCCCCTCTTCGCATGACCTCCTCCATGTCACCCTCGCACTGACGACCAACTCGCCGCTTCCCGTTCGGGTTCCACTCGAGAACCTGTCGTGTGACGTCACTTGATGGTTTTCTCAGAGTATGATCAATCCACCTCCATTTCTTCATGCATATATGTTGCACAATCGGTTCCTGGTTGGTTCGCTCACAGAGATCCCTGTTGCTGACCTTTTCTAGCCATCTGATCTTGAGTAGTGAGCGAAGACAACTGTTAATGAAAGTCCGTAGCTTGTTCGAAGTGCCCTTCGTGATGCTCCAAGTCTCTGATCTGTATAGTAGCACTGACTTCACATTGGAGTTGAAAATTCGGATCTTGTTTTCCATGCTGAATGCTGTTGTTCTCCACACAGGCTTGAGAGTAATGGAAGCTTGCCTTGCTTTCCCGATCCTTGCTTTGATATCCTCATCAGTGCCGTCTGTAGTTGAAACGATGCTTCCCAGGTAGGTAGGTAAAGGAGGTTGCTTCTTTCAGATTTCTCCCACTTTTACTGATTCTTATGTTGTAGCTGCTGTTTCTGTTGGCCAGGAATCTTCATTACCTCTGTCTTCTCTATGTTCACCTGAAGTCCTATCTTTGATGCTCCTTCTGCCAAGTTGTTGCTTTTCACTTGCATATCTTCCAGTTTGTGAGAAATCAGACAAATATCATCGGCGAAGTCCAGATCCTCCAGGTTTTTGTGTGTCGATTTTATTCCTGTTTCCTCGCTGTCCGCTGTCTGTCGCATTATCCAGTCTACTGCAATCAGAAAAATCATTGGAGATAGTAGGCAGCCTTGTCTTATTCCCGTCTTCACTTTGAGCTAGCTCACGAGGACTCGCAGGCGTAGGGATAGCACTGAGTGTTAAGGCGGAAAAATCACTCCTTGACTGGATCCCAGTAGATAGTCATATTTGCGCGGTCCGTCTGAACGGGTCCGTTAAAAGAAAGAAAGACGGCGCTACCCGTCGTTGCCTTTTCGTAGTCTCCGCCTACGCCCCAACAGATTGCAGTTCGGATGAATTAAAAGATGACTTCTACCGGAAACTGTCTAATTTGCTGCAAAAAGCAAAACGTTCAGACATAGTTGTTTTAGCAGGCAACTTCAGTGCCCAAGTAGGGAAGTTGTGCCAGACTGAGAAGTATGTAGGTGGTACGTATGGAGTTCCCTGCCGACGAACCGACAACGGTGATCGTCTTCTTTAGTTTTACTCAGATAATCATCTGTTCCTAGTTAGCACTAACTTTAGGCATAAAGAAAGACATTGTGTAACCTGGCGACCTCCATCACCAAATCAACGCTGGACTCAGATAGACCACATAGCCATAGGGTATCGTTGGCGAGGGTCAGTAGAAGACTATCTCTCCTTCTGGAACACGTGCGTAGACTCTGACCACGCTCTGGTTCGCGCACGTTTATGCTTACGACTAAATGGACACAAGA